TATCTATCTATCTATCTATCTATCTATCTATCTATCTATCTATCTGAACAGAATACTCATAGGACCACAATAAAAAACACAACACAGAATTTCCCAAAACCAAATTACATAACTTATTAATTATAAACTTAATTTAAAGAGTCTCTTCAAAAGCCATTTTTCTCCTTCAGACAACATAAACAATTCAGGATTTTTTTTTTGTACCGTCTGTCAAACACCAAATACTTTTCAAATCATGATACAAAGTCCAATGAAATATAAAGTTAATTTTGTTCTTAACCACGTATACAAAAAAGAAGAAAACACACATAAATGTTGGTTTTTAAAGACCTCGTGGTATTTGCCCACTTCAGCCACTAGAGGAAGAAAACCGGTTCTACTTTGCATGAAGTTGCCTTTGATAATATTCCTAACTTTACAAATAATTCAGTTTGGATCACGTCCTGAATTTCAATCTCAGTTTTAACTTAACGTTTTCAACAAATTACATGTACATATTAATTCTATATACTCTTTAAACATCCTTAATTGAATTATATTCAAACATTAACAAAAAAAAAAAACAATATCAGAAAAATGTCACAATAGACACCTACCGGTAATCAGTATCAACAGAGATCACATTCAATATCATTTTTTAATTATTTTAATGGATTCCCATGCAGACCTTACCCCTTATTCGAAATCATAAGAAAGCTACATTACGTATCTTGTAATATGTATACAGATAACTTTTATTGTATTGCCTGTTTAAAATGTCTGAATTGTGCAAACTGCAAGAATAGTCTATGTTTATTAAAAAATAAAATAATAATGAAATAACTGGTGGAGGATTCATTGCAAAAAGGTGGAATTCCTGGTTATTATATTAATATGTATCTTTTAATCTGCTGGTGTAAAGTATCATATGAATGTGGGTGTTTTCTCTGGCAGTGCCTTCACCGTACCGTAAGCATCTTGTTAGAAACCGTTGTTTATCGCTTAAAAAAATGTTTTAGGCTTTTTTTTTTCAAAAAATAAATTAAACAAAGCATTCCTGCTTTGCTTTCATATTCTGCAGAAATCAGCTTAAAGCCTGGACTACCACGTAACTAAAGATTAGTCCTTATTCCACTGGATCTCTGTCCATTTGGACCCAGTTCAAGATTTTGGTTTTGACATTGAAAGCCATCCATGCTCAAGCTTGTAAATATGTTGCATATTTATTGAAGCTCAAGTCTTGTTGCCTCTTAGATCATCTAACTAGATATTGCTCGGAGTTCCTGGGAGTCATTTTCAGGAGATTAGACTTTTCAGGCTACGGCTCAAAATGCCCTGGAACTCCCTTTCACTGTCTTTGTTCTCCGCAAATTTTAAAAAGAACAATTAAAGACACGATTATTTAGACTTAGAACGATTTCTTACTGTTTCTTATTTTACTTATGTAAGGCGATTATCATCTGTAAAACATGTTGTATAAATAGTATGACTTCAGCTAGCCTAAAATAACAAGATTCAAATATTATTCTTATCCTTAGATAAAGAGATAATTTTTCCATTATTTTGAGAAAATAACTTTTATTTCACCTGTAACGATGATTACTTGTGTAAACAATACAGTTATAAACAAAGCCATAACCTCCAGTGCATTATGCTGGCAAGCAGAGAAAGATCGGACATAAGATGATAAACACGCGTAAACTGAGTAAAGATGATTACTTCTTCATTGTGTCACCTGTAATCAAAGTAAAGTAAACACTGTGTTCCAAAGTTCTGTGTTAAATCAAAGAAAAAGAAAAGAAATGGGTGACCAAAGTTCAGTGATGCCTTTGGGAAATAATCTTGTCTTTGTAACCCCAAAAGACAAACTATAGTTAAGTTTGCTGCAAAAGTTAATGCTAGTCAGAGTGCAGTGAATCGCAGTTTGTGGTGTTTGCAAAGTCCATAGCTGTAGTATTTAGAAGCATGTACAGGAGTTGAGCTGCCACTAACATACAGGTGCATACACCGCTGTACACCTTCAGGGGTCATGTGAGGTCAACAAGCATCAAGAAGCCCACAAACACACTTAACAGTCATAATTAATGTCATACTATCCTTTGATAAGACACTTTGGTTCAATTTTCAAAATCAGACAATCAAGTAGGAGGCAGATAATCTGTGCAGATATAGACACCTAGGTCTTTTGAAAAATTCAAAATTAAAACAGAGCAAGAAAGAAAGGATGTTTAACTTTTGAACTGATGTCAGATGGGCCAACCTGAATTTTCATAAAATGAATGAATGTTTTAGAAAAGTATAGAAAGGGGATCTTACATTGTGGAAATTTGAGTGGACCTCCAAATGAAAACATGCGCTTAAACAAAAATATGGAAAAAAACAAAAACAAAAAAACAACAAGAATTAGAAACTTTAAACAATTTATGTTAACTTGTCACTATTTTACTTCGTTTTATTTCGCATCATTTTCGCTTTTATTCTTTTTCCTTCTTTGTAGTCCGTTAGGAGCTTTTGTTTTGAAAGGACACTTGCTCAATTCCGGTTAGACGTTACAGTTTTCCTCGAGCTTTATCACTGGTCCGGTTGGTGACGTTGCTGACGCCGGGACGAGTTCAGGACAACGCCGGAGGAGAAGGGACAGATTGTGGGGAATATGTCGCCCCTTGGCGATGGCTGGAAGAAACAGGCGATGCCTACAATGCCTGTTTTTTATCCCTCAATTAAACACTTTATCGCTCATTAATGTGATTGTTTAGACTATCAGACCTTCAAATGTAAAAATGATTTAAATAGTTCACAGAAAACAAACTAATAAATTATTAGGGCTGATCTCATAATTCATAAATTCACCTTTACAGGTTGTTGTTTCCTGTTGCAGTTTCATTTTATTTATTTTTAAATCTAACACACTGTTTTAGATGCGCTTCTGTTAAAGAATGACTGAGAATCAAAGCTTGACTTTTATATGCCTATCTTTATAGATTGTTTTATTTCTTATTACTTTAGTCAGATTCATGCTATTTCTTTGACCATTTTGTTTTTTGTTTTTTTGATTAAACTAAAGAAACCAACAGTTTTCTCCACATGTGCATATTGTTGAACCACACAGTCTTTCAAAATGTATTTTTTATGGGGTGCCATAATGGCCCCAATGAAATATATAAATAAACAGTATTTATGAGATTTCAGGGTTTCTGCATTTCATTGCACCACATATATGATTTAATCCACCATAATCCTGTATTTTTTTTGCTGCAAAACTAAGTAACAATAAATTGAAATTTAGCTAAATATAGATGTTTTTATTACTTTTTTTTATAAATACATATTTAATTAAGTTATGGGGTCATAACAAGTGTCCTATTTTTTATGTAATAAGCTCAAATTTTCTTTGATAAACTTTTTGAATGATAGTTTTGTCAGCTTTATTGCTTTTTTTTTTCTTCAAAGCCCCCTTAATGTATTTTTTGACCCTTTTTAATCCCATAAGCCACAGATTATTTAACATAAATTATGTCATTGACCTGTTTTATGCAGTAACCTGACACACAGAAATATTCCCCCCCATTTATTGTGATATCGTCTTTAAATTTCCACTTTATCATTCTTATTTGATTTGACTATATCTCAGATGAAAGGAACAAAAAAAAGAGCTGCTTGTTTACTCCTATGTATTTCAGAGTTGCTTGTCGAATATGAATCATGTAGACCCCTTAGGTCCTCAGAGACCCACTGACTCATCATTCCAAGAACCTTTTCCAAAGAATCTGATCCAGCTCTGGAACAAACTTCCAAAAATCCTGAAATATGGAAAAAAAATTAGGGCACCTTTTGCTTTTACTAGATGAATAAACAAATACTAATGTTCCCATCTAAAGCTTCAGATTGAAGATGAGATTTAACTTTAAATATAGATATAAATTCATACTTCTCCATAATATCTGACATCTTAAATCTTGATGTTTTAATGCAATGCTTCTGAAATAAATTAAGCTCCCCTATAAACTGTTTGTTGGATGTTCTGTAATTAAATAACATAGCTTTGTGTATGAAAACTAAGATTTAAATAAACCTGTCTTGCTTTGCTTTAAAGTGAACAAATTGGTTTAAAGTGAGCATATTTGGTCATAATGTCCCATGGTCTTTGAGGTTTTCTATCACAAGGGGGCACAACATCCCAGCAGTCAGCTTTCAGCACACATCACCTCATTCCAACTATCAGGTTATTATCAGGTTGGTGCCAAACTTTGCATGTTTCTTCTCCTTTCTGTTAATGACACATCACAATTAAATCAGAATTAATGAGTATATGCCCCCAAGACTTAGATAACTACATGCACATGCTTGCTAGCTGAAACTTGCTTTCAGACAGCTGACTGCTAATTGGAAAAAGCTGAGTGGTGTGTTGGAAAAAGCTGAGTGGTGTGTATGCGGTGCGGATTCAAAGTTAGCGTTGTTCTAATTTGTTGTTGAGTTTAATTGAATTTGATGGAAAACCTCGTTATGTACCTATGCAGACCTTCAGTGGTAAACAGTGTCTGTAAAGCTGCACCGAAAAGGAGCAAATATTGGAATTGCTCTGCATTCATACCCTCTTCCTCTTAAGCCTCAAGATAAGCTTGACTAATTTCAAACTCTGTTATGTTGCTGCTATAACTAGGATTTCTCTGTTTAAGGCCCGACCCTCGTATTCCCATCAGCAGCACAGTACAGTATAATCCCCCTGACAGACAACTTGCTGGGAGGCCTGTAGCTAACAGAGTTATA